GCCAGCTCTATTCTGAACTCACCTAAGTTTAAAATGTACTTTTTTGCAACATTTTCTTTTATTGCGTTATTTTTATATATAATCCAGGAGTTGATAACAACCAGATCAAATAAATGGAAAAATATACGAATATACCATTTGCGTGATTTTACTCTTATGTAATATATACCCAAGAAATTATCTAACAAGTCAACACCCCCCGTATGACTGTTGTATTCTGTAATAGCCTTTGGGCACAATATATCAACTCGTTCCCTCTTCTTTTTATCAAACCTTTTGACAGTTGAAACAGGCTCTGCTCCTACATAACTTGATAACATAGTCACAATTTTATTGTCCTTCCATGCTATGCAAGCTAAATCTATTCCCTGATATGATCATGTTCTTTCTTCATAAATACCCCTAGGGGTATTTTTTTCATCATCTCTTTTTTTGTCTGGTAGTTTGTTATTGCGAATTCTGTTTTGTTGAATTGTGCCAAGGCAAAGTATTTCTTGCTTAGCCAAATAACTAATGGCACAGATGTATAGAAATTATTGTAGATGATGATATGGTTGACCATTCGTGGAACATCTCTGGTTATGCGAAGCACAATATTATTTGTAAGAAGTAAGTTTTAACAGTGGTAGAGCTACGCGGCAGCTTTTGCTGTCGCACGGATGGGCCGGCTCGAACCGGGGTGGTACCACGACCTCCCAGAAAACCAGCGTGAAGTAGAGGTTTACCTCTGCGTTTCGCTTGGTGAGTGCAGGTGGCCGGAGGCCCTTTTTACTGGAAATGAGGCATTCCATCTTAGTCCTCACGGGTGACAACGCATCTACATTTTGATTTGTAATAGAGGATTGATGTAGATGTCTATGGGCCGCAGCAACCACTTACCATCAGGTGGACTGTGTGCTCGTTTGTCACCCATATCCTATAAAGTCAGGCTCACCTTCAGGTCTTGTAGAAATGTCTTGATCAGAATAAATTTCAAATTTATAAGCAAATCTAAAATCACTACATAATACATACTACTTAAATCCCCGTTTATGGGGCTTATTTGGTAGATATTACTTTAGATAATGTCCCACTTTGGTGGCACACATTTGTTTATCAATTGATAGTCTTTGATGTTTTTTTTACGCTGGAAAAGGTTTGATTTAGACTATCAATAATTGGTCTCACCTTATTATATATATTATATATTTAAGAGGTTATGTCCTGGATAGTTAACTGGATAGTTAACTGGTATATATTTTTCATTATCATTGAAATTGATATATTTTTTGATCTTTTCAAATGTATTCGCATTCATAGTCTGTTTTATAGGTTCAAATCCAAAATGCCTTAACCAGTACTTGCGTTTGCTGGAGAAATGCTGAACAGACGTCTAAAGCAGAATGCCTAAAAACTTTTTCAGGTCATAATAAGACAAATATAATGTATTTTCAGGATTTAGTTGGGTGGCATATAGATTTGTTTCTGATATTATTTTGTTACAAAGTTCAGGTGTAAGAAAGTAGTTAAAGCATTGACATGGTGTTTTAGGGCTGTTATTTCAGTACCTACATCAATGCTGCCTTCAAATTCAATATTTGACTCAGAAAACTGAAGTGAACTCTTCTTTCAAATCAGCTTCCTCTTCTCTAACACCCAAGTCGAGCAAGCAGAGTTTTCTCCTGCTTCAGATGCCACAGTTTCTTGAATCAGAGGGGGATCATGCACATCAACTTGTTTTTCGTGTAAAGTAGGATATTTTACAGATTATCATCACCCTCTACGTCTTGCAGAACTTCATTTCTATAGGTGTAAAAGATACTTTCCTTATTATCTTCCGTATCAAACATTTCTGACAGATATCCTCCTTCTAGAGCAGACAAGTACTCTTTAATGTCTCTATCATTGATTATTCTTGATCTTGGAACTTCGCGAGTCATGTAAAGAAGGCATTAGAGGCACATATTAAGTATAAGTAAATCTTTAATTTTAATTGTAATTTTGATTTTTACTGAATTACAGAGATGACATCAAACCAAATAAAATTATATGCAATTAATTTTACGGATTTTATCGCGTATATTAACTTATTTTATATTCTAGACGTTTTGAGCACTTTACATTTTATACTTTGGCGCTGTAAAGTGCGATAGAATCAGTAAAATTAGTTTTATTTAAATGTGCAATTAAATTATTGAAATGATTTAAATTTAAATCAAATTTTACGATATAAGTAAAAAATAATAAAAATAACAGTTTGCATAATCATTGCAGTCTTTCACAAGTGCACTGCTGAACATAGGCCTCCCCAAGGAATGCCACAAAGCACGGTCCAGAGCCACCTGCATCCATCGACTTCCTGCATGTCTTACCAGGTCGTCACTCCATCTCGTGGGGGGTCGCCCTACACTTCGCCTACCAGTACGAGGTTGCCACTCGAGAACCTTTCTACACCATCGTTTGTCGATTCGAAGTACCATATGACTATATGACCGGCCCATTGCCGTTGTGCCCAATATGTTGAGCTACGTCGGTCACTCTGGCTCTACTGCAGATATACTCATTTCTACGTTTATCACGCGGAGAAACTCCGAGCATAGCCCTCTCAATAGGCCGCTGAGCGACCTTGAGTTTCTCCATACGACCAGCAGTGAAAGTCCACGTCTCAGATCCATACTGACCAGTCATCACTGGCAACACGCAGTGGTTGTACAATATCGTTATCAGGTTTTGATGTATTCAGGTATAGAGAAGATGTGTCGTAGTTTCCCGAACGCTGCCCAGCTGAGTTGAATCCGTCGATTGATTTCTCGGTCGAAGTTGGACTATTTGTCTCAGATAAGCATACTCGTCAACAACTTCGAGCTTAGTGCTCCTAACAACTACCTGCATAGGTGTGATATGGACATTAAACATGATCTTTGTTTTGTCCCTTTCCAATGTGTAGTCACTTGTAATTGGCAAACTGTCTAGAATTTCGACTGATTCTGATGATATTTTAAATTGGTTTCTATCGGCATGGCTAATAGAACTATGAACAATTTTAAATGCGTAACTAGTTGAATTTTCTGTTGAATTTAAACTTTCAGTTTCGGTCATATTTCTTGCTGTGTTCAAAACATTAACAACGGTGTTGGTGTCAACTCCAGCATTTTTCAATTAGTTACTAAGCTGATTAATAATCTTGATGGCGATATTCAAATGCCTGTTCTTAATTTTCTTGCCTGGAGATTTCAGATTTTTAGTAGCATAATAAAGGATAATACCATTTCCGTAAAAAAAATCTGAGCCAATATTTTCCCAGAAGGGGTTATAAATATAAGGACAGTAACAGCCTCTTTTTCTTTGCCATTTATAATTTATAACCTTTACAATGTACCAATATCACCTATTGAATCTAACCCTAGTACTTCCACTCGAACGCCGGTTTTCTGTCCACGTTGCCGTACTAGTGACAATGTAAACAGGAACGTTATCATATGCCAAGGCATAGTTATAAACAGATCTCCCCGCATGATCGGTTAAACGGGAACCGGGGAATTCATGTGGCGTGGTGAGCGTTGAAATCGCCAAGGATCACAATCTCTGGGGATGGGATCTGCTGTAAAAAGGAATCTGTAGCCATTTGAACGTGGTCGATTAATCGGTCTGTTTCGGCATTACCGCTATGGGACCTATAGAGGCTAGGAGAGATACGAAGTTTTAGCCGGAGAGAACACCTACGTATCAGTCAGAAAGAGCAAGGCCGGCTTCGCCGTCTCGAGATGGTAGTGGACGGCGTTTAGGTTCTAGTGAAGTCCCCTGATATTGCAGAAATTCACGAATAGTGTTGTAGGGGTCGCCTTGGTCTTGCTGCTCAGTTTGCCACGAGCAGTTATTGTTTTGAGCGGTATTTCCCTCCCCCCCCCCCCCACAATACGCGGGGCAGCCTGAGCACCCACGCTCAGGAGTGGAGTGGCATGGTCGTGGATGCTCAGCGAGGGATTCTCCAGGCATGCTGGTATCCTCCTGGGGTAAGTTTTGATTTAATTCCGCTACCATGTTGATGGGGGAGGGGGGAATTGGGACTTCGGTCACCTGCATTCTCCAGATGAAACGCAGAAGCAGAGCTCCCACTTCACGCCGGTATTCTGTGATGTCGTGGTAACAACCCGGCTCGAGCCGAGTTGGTACACGACATGAGCTCCAACTCTGTCTGTAACACGTCGAATTCACCGTAAAGTGATTCTGTTTTACCAAGACGGAAATCCAATTCCGCTAACTGAGAGAGGTTTAAATTGGTGCGAGGCTGAATTAAAATTAAAAAAGTGGCAAAATGCTTTGCTTTTAAGCTTCCACGTCTTCTAAATAATTCTTTCAATTTTATTTGCGCTATATTTTATGTGATATTTATTGTTATCTCTATTATTTTAGTGTTGATGCGTCGCCATGGTATCCCAAACCTGACGACACAATTTGTAGTGAACATTTTATGGGAAACAAAAAATCAGACTCAAAATCAAAATCAGGAAGAAAGTCCGAGTTATGCTCCCACGTAATTCCCTGAAATATATCAAAAGAGGAAGGTTAATGATTCACAGGTCCTAGCTAGATATACACGCTTGACAAAACGAAGAACCACAAAAGTCTCAGATACCACATCAAGTCAAATAATAATTAAAGAAGGAAGTGAATTGAATCAAACTCAACCTCTTATAGTCGATCAAGGATGTCAAGTTAATATGTTTTCTGATTCGAAATTAAGAGATACAACCTTTATTTGTATTAGATTAGTTTACAGTGATCACTGTGATGCTGAAATCCAAGTGGATATAGCAACAACATCAAGAATTGTAATGACAAATTATTGAAGAAATAAAGGCTCATTTACATGATGCAAGTTTCTTGCTTGTTGCATACAATAAAATTGAAGTAATAAATTACCTGCATGGTCTAAACAGTACGTAACATTTTGATCTTTTGCGCAAGTTTTGCTTGCCAAAATTTTCTTGGTGTAAACAGCACATACAAAAATTTCTTAGGCGATTCTTGCATTCAATTAGTTTTCTCTTTATTTGCCAACAAGAGTGCAGTAAGTGAAGGTGTGTTAATCGTTGCTGCTCTTCTGAGACAAGAAATATTGAGAAATCGTCGTAAAAAGAGGTGTTGGATCAAAAAATGGATAGCAAGAAGAGGAGTTCTTGGAGCGTCTAACAATCTTTGTGCAGCATTACAAATAGAAAATGAAGATGACTTTAAGAACATGTTTCGTGTCAACAGAACCCAGTTTGATTATTTATTAGATAAAATTGGTTCTTCTATACAAAGGCAAAATACAACAATGCGTAATGCTATTCCTGCTCGAACAAAACTAGAAATAGCATTAAAATATTTGGCAACTGGAGATTCGTTTGGTACACTGTCACAATTATTTAGAGTACCTAGGTGTACTATAAGTACATTCTTGGTCGAAGTTCTTGAAGCTATTTACTCTGTATTAGAAGATTTTATAAAGGTGAGTTCGAAATAAAACAGTTTTTATAATAGAATCATATATTTTCAGCAAAATAATTAGAAATTGTTAATTACTATTTATGCTCAGAACGAAAAATAAGCAATATTTATTTATTATCAAAATATAAACTACGGAATCAGATATTTAATTAAAATAGAAAAAAAATTACATGTTCAACCATGTGTCTTCGCTGCCTTGTTTGGAATACGGGGATTCTGGCATTGGAGTAGAGTTTTGTCGTTCTTTTTCTCGAAGATCTTGCAGTTTATATTTTGATAATATTGCTTGTATTTCGTCCTGAGCATGTATGCTATTTTCGGTATTCAAAATTCGCAATGAAGACGCAACATATTTTCCGAAATTGTCCAAATCATCGTCTTTTTTTTCAAGTCTTGCTCTTTTTTCAATATTGTCCAGTTTATCTAAGGCCGATTCTATGTAACCTGCTTTTTTAGTTGTTTTTTTAGGCATTGGAAACGGAAGCACATCATCGACGACTTGTATATTTGAATTTATAACATTTTCAATATTTTCCGTATTTTCATTTTCAAAATATTCAAAAACTATTTCTTGTAATGCCAGGGACGTATCATTCTAAAAACATACATTTATTTCATTATTTTACAGATGGAATCAAATAATAAGGGGCTTTTTTATAAGATGGAATTTTCCCAACTGCTTTGGTGCCATTGATGGAAAGCATATAAACGTAAAATGTCCCCCTGGCACAGAATCAGACTTTTTTAATTATAAAAGTACATTTAGTATTGTGTTACTAGCTTGTGTTGATCACGACTATTGTTTCACATACATTGACGTGGGAGCAAAAGGTAGAAACTCTGATGGTGGAATATTTAATAATTGTACTTTAAAGAAGGCTATTGAAGAGAATACCATAAATTTGCCAAGTAATGCAGTACTTGTCGGAGATGAAGCGTTTCCTTTAAAACCTTATTTGATGAAACCATATCCTCGCCGTAACGATTTAAGTAGAGAACAAAAAATCTATAACTACAGATTGTGTAGATGTAGGAGAATCGTTGAAAATGCTTGCGGAGTTTTAACATCCCGATTTCGAATTTTCGAAAAGCCAATCACTACAAGTATAGACAAGGTAGATGTCATAGTGAAAACATCATGTGCTTTACACAACTGGCTTAGGAAAACTTCACCTGCGTCTTACACCCCACCAGGTTTTATAGACGAAGAATGTCAAAGAAGTGGTCTTCGTCTTGGTACTTGGAGACAAAATGCTTCAGGCGGAGCTTTTGAAAATATAACATCACAGAACAACAGGAATAGTTCAAGGGAAGCTATAAGAATCCGTGATAATTATTGTCATTACTTTAACAATGATGGTGCTGTACCTTGGCAAGACAGTGCCATTTTTTAATGAAAAAAAATTTCACATTTATAATATTATGCACTTGACTGTACTTTAGAAAATTTACATAAATACATACTTACCATATTTGATGTTGTTTCTCTGTGTTCAGAAGTTTTCCTTAAAAAAGAATCCATTAAATTATACCAAGAGAGTTTGGACTTGTAAATATCAGCAGTACCGGAACCAGTGCTCATTGAATCTTTTATCTTTTTCCTTTCCGCATGATACTGCGTTCTTAAGTTTTTTATATTGTTTGTAATTTCCTTCCAAACCATCAATTCCAAATTCTTGTGAAAATGCTACAAGTGCAGCACTACGTGCATCACGATTCTTGTAATTCACATTTTCAGTGTCCCACAAACACTCATGACTGCGATAAATCTCAATAAACTTTATATAAGAACTATCAATGACGCCATTCACCAACTTATACAAGAAAATAAGGTCAAGGAGCTGTCTTCGATTCGAAAGTGGCTGAAAGTTAAAGTAATTTAGCCTATCTTCGTAAGTTCTAAGAGTTTTAACTAGATTATGATCGTAAGATAAATGCAAAAGAAATCTCTTTTGTATCCTTTCGATTCTGTGTGAGTAAATATTAAAGTGGGGATTCCATACTACGCTGCAGCATTCCAAGATACTTCGTACCAAAGTTGAGTAAATAATTATTTTAGTGCGAGTATCCCTGAATTGGCATATATGGCAGGTTTGAAAGATGACCTTATCACAAAAATTGATAAGGGCGTGCTTCGGTGGTTTGGGCACGTTGAGCGAATGAGTGAAGACCGAATGGTGAAGAAAATATATAGCGCGAAAGTTAATATTAAAAGGTGTCGAGGTAGACCGAGACTAACTTTCGAAGACCATGTGAGCAAATTGCTCGAAGAGGGTAGGGTCAAAAGTACTCGGATACTTAGACGTGCATGCATGAAGAAGATAATGAATCTGAAAGAAGCGAAAGAGGTTTGTAAGGATCGTGACACTTGGCGATCTGTTCTCTCTGGCTACCCCGTCAGGGATTGTGCGTGAAGATAAGTATTAGTTATCCCTGAATTGCTTACAGTTACGGAAGAGGAAGCCAAGAGTCCTAAAACCCTTGTTGACAACATTATCAATGTGGATATTATAACGAAGCTTATTGTCAAGCGTAACTCCTAAATCGCGTATGTGAGGAACTTCAGACAGAATACGACCATCAATGTAATATGTTGTTGCAAGAGATGTTTTCTTTCTAGAAAATTTTATAACATGACGTTTGTCAGCATTTAGTGTCATACCGTTGTTACGACACCATAATGTCAAGTTATTTAAGTCTTCCTGTAAGAATTCTTCATCAGAATTTGAGGAGACAGCTCTAAAGATCTTTAGGTCGTCAGCAAATAAATAAAACTTAGAATTCTCAAAGTATTTATTGATGTCGTTGATGAAAATGTTAAACAACAAAGCCCAAGATGAGATCCTTGAGGTACGCCAGAATAGGCAAAAAACGGCTCAGAAGCATAAACATCAACAACAACAGTTGACGACCGATTGGCAAGATATGAATTAAACCAGTCCAGCAAAGGGTTTGCTATACCCATCCATATGTTACTTTGTTGGGGGGCTAAAGATCAAATTTCTGTCGTAAAGTGGTTACAACAGATCACAAATCGATATACATATGATAAGGTTGAGAAGCGTAAAATACCGGTAAATTTACCCCAAATTGTGAAATATTATAATGCTCACATGGGTCAAGTGGATTTGGCTGACATGCATTATACAGAACTGAGATGAAATCAAGAAGGTGGTTTTTGTCGATTTTTCCCAAATGATTGATATTTGCATCAAAAATGTGTGGTTAATATATAAAAGAAATATGAAAAGGCTTGAAGAAAACCTGATGATGCTAAAAAATTCAGATTAAATGTCAGTGAAGAACTTATAGAATTTGGAAGACCCTCTTTGCCAGTTGAAGCACCGCCATCTTCGTCCAAAATTTTGGTCCATGATCAAGCCAAGATCAAGCCATGATCAAGATTTGGGATTAAAAAATCTCAGCTTAGACTTTTTAATCCCAAAATAAGCGAAACTGCTTTTATAATTCCCATAATGATTAACTTTTGATAATTTCTTTCATTCCTATTGTTTGTTTTATTTTTCACCCAAAACGATCTGTGAGTGCAACGTGCAAAGATCACGTGCAACGCAGCAACTAAAACCTGCAGCAATGGGCCCTTGAGGTGGAGAAACTGGTTCGAAAGGCATACCAGTCCGTACCTGCGCTCATTGAAGGGATCATGGTGCAGACATTCATCGACGGTATCCGCGACCTTGAAGTCAGAGCTGCTGTGAGGTTCGGGCACCACGAGACACTTAAGGACGCCTTGGCCCTTGCACTGGAGGTAGAAGGCATGCGGCAGGATCATCGTTACTATCGCGTTAAGACAGTTGCAGCAGCTACAGTTCGCGACCGCAATAAATGATACAACTCTAGGTGCTAAGGCTGTGGAGGAAGGGGCCATCTTCGATCCAGCTGCCCTAAGCGAACTGTAGAAAGGGAAGATGATCGATCTCCAGAGGGTAGTGTGGCTAACAGCATCGCCCTGTAGCAGCACGGAAACGAGTAAAAGCCAGGACTGCGGGGCGGGTGCTGGATGATGTTAAAAGAACCCCAAGGATTTCGATCTCACAAACCCATGATGTTGTGGTGTTTTGAAATGTGAACAAGAGAAACTTTTCGTAAATGTTGCGTTACCAGGGAGTATTTACAGCTTTAAGAAGATTGTTCTATCGCCGAGATCGGAAACGATTGTGCTGGTTAGTCTTCCTCGGAATCCTGGGCAAGTTATCGTTGTGTACTCGTGGAAAGGGTAGACAATGAACTTCCATGGAATGTGGCTCGAACCTTGGCCAGAACCACCGAAATCTCAATGATCTCAAACCTTTGTGATCAGGAACAGATTATAGAAAAAGGCACACTGAATGGGTACTTGTAAGGAAGTGGATTAGTTGCGTCGGTGCCAATATATATCGACTGGGACCCCCAGCAGGATGCACAAACGAGAGTGAACACGCTTTTAGAAGACTGTCGCAGCGGGGAGAGTCTCCGAATGAAATGGTCAAGCCGAAGAAGTTACTCAAGTACGCCGATGTTTTCTCGTCAAACGATGCTGACATAAGACTGGCTTAACAACACAAAACAAACAGGAGAAGAATTGCCTATTCGTCAACAGTCAAGAAGATTACCGGTTGCACGTGAAAAGGTAGTGGAAACCACAATTGAGAAAATGGTGAAGGATGATGTTATTGAACCTTCATCTAGTTCATGGTGTTCATCTGTGGTGCTTGGTAAAGAAGAAGGACTGAAAAGAAGCAATAGTTATGAATGTTATGGTCTTAAACATAAACTCAATATTAAATAATAAATTTACAATGTATGCTTCTCTGTATTGTATGTCTACATTAAATCTAGCTACTGTTAATAAAGGTTAGTTTAGTATAAGCAGACAAACCTACGAGTTCTTCGAGAACATCTATCTCCATGCCTTTGGTACTTGCACTTGGAGGTTGCTCCGGGAATGCACCTGAAAAATAAACAAATATGATTGTTAGATACGATTTCATGCGACAAAACGTTGAAATCTTGATT